ACTTCTAATTTTCTTTCATCTGGGTATGTTTGATTTCATTATTCTTGAATGATATTTTCAGTGGATATAGAATCCTAGATTTACATTACTTTGTTTCAACACTTTAAAAACATGTGCTAACTTTTCTGGGCTTTATTGTTTCTGATGAAAAACCAATCATCATTTGAATTGTTGTTCTTTTATAGGCAATGTGTCCTTTGCTTCTTTCTCTTAAGACTTAAAGGCTTTTAAGACTTTTCCCCTGTCTGTCTTTAGCTTTTAGTAATTTGATTTCAATGTACATAAGCATGGATTTCCTTTTGTTTATTCCACTTAGTGTTTGCTCACTTTCTGGGATATATGGGTTTATGTCTTTTGCTGAACTAAAAAGTTTTATGTCATTATTTTCAACTATTTTTTTCTACAATACAGTTATTATCCACCGTAGTCACACTAATGTTAGGTCTTTCTGGTGTTGTTCCAGAGGCCTTAGAGGTCCTGTTCACATATTTTTTTCATTTTCTTTTCTTCCTCTTGTTCATACTGGATGATTTCTATTGATTTATCTAAAGGTTACTGATTATTTTCTCTGTCATTTTCATTTTGCTATTGAGCCCATTTTATAACTACTTTTATTTTAGTTATTGTGGATTTCAGGTGTATAATTTCCATTTGTTTTTTTCTTCATATCTCTTTTTCCTGATAATTTCTATTTTTGATATTTGCCTCAAAAGCATTAACAATTGTTCTTTCAAAGAATTTTATAGTGACTCCTTCTAGGTCTTCATCAGATAATTCCAACATCCATGTCATCTTGTCACTGGCCTCAGTTGATTGTTATATTCCATGTGATTTTATGGCTTCATAGTTTATATATATATATATATATATATGTATATATATATATATATATCTTAATTGACTAAGGATTACATCATGGACATTTTGAATATTGCATTATGAGAAGCTAGACTTTGTTTAGATCTTATGGAGAATGTTGATATTTGTGCTTTTGTAGAGAGCTGAAAATTATATCCAGCATTTTTTGAGTTGGTGCTCTACCATTAGTCCTGTTTTCAAAACCTATTCCATGCTATTCAGATCTGTCCCATTTATGAGTCACCCAGTGGCCAGTCTAGGACCTGGGTGGATATCTGCCCATTAGGTCAGTTCTCAAAGTCTTTGGTATGCTAATTTGTATCAGATTTACAGCTGCACAGTTTTGGTGGTGAGCTCAGGAGTCCATAATTAACTCTATGGCATCATTTAACCAACTTCTGCTATATCCCAAGTACTTTCTCTTTTCTCAATGGCTGCCTTATTTGGTGTACCAGGAGACACTTCTCACTTCTTTGATTGTAGTGCTCCTACAGCCAAGTGACAGAGACAAAAGGGGAGAGGAGAGAGAGAGGGAGGAGAGAGAAGAAGAGAGAGAGAGGAGAGAGAGAGAGAAGGAGAGAGAGAGAGGGAGAGAGAGAGAGAAGGAGAGAGAGAAGGAGAGAGAGAGATAGGGAGAGAGAGAGGGAGAGAGAGAGGAGAGAGAGAGAAGGAGAGAGATAGAGAGAGGGAGGAGAGAGAGAGAGGGAGGAGAGAGAGAAGGAGAGAGGGAGAGAGGGAGAGAGTAAAGAAAAGCAAGAGGGTTTTTCTCTGTTCTCATGGAACCCTAGACTTACTAAATGAAGAGAAAGGTTTCCATCTCTTAGAATGCTGGTTCCTACATGCTTCTGTTTCCATTGAGGGATTTCTTGTGAACTACAGTACAAAAGAATGGAAAAACAAAGATAAACCAAATATGAGACTTTCTTCTACTTTCTCTGAGGTGTAGGAGTTCCCTTTCCTGCTCCTCAAAATGGAATATTCTTATATCGCTCTCTCTCTTTCTCTCTCTGCCCCATATTGCTTACTTCTTTATGGATTTTTATTGGGTTGAGTTTAGGCTGGGAGATACCAGAGAAAGAAAAAATGGTAAATTCAAAACAGGTTTAGTGGCATGCTGAATTCTGACATTCTGCAAACTGCCTACTGCTATTTTTTTTCAGATTCCTCAAATATTTGGGCTATGCATTCTGTACAGGTTTTATAGTTGTATTCTTTGGAAGAGAAGTGAAAACATCTATTTACTCTTCCTTTCTTGGAAATGCAACTCCTGATGAGAGTGTGAAAATTTGGTATACAAAAGTTTCCAAGACTCAAATTCCAGACTTGATACTGATAAAATTTTTTTCCCATGATATCTAATGATGATCATGTTTCCATTTATTTATTCTTTTGTCACCCATATTCTGCCTGTAGGTAACCCTATATTTGTTTTGTTGGGGCTTATCATATTGGAGCTTTCTTTATTATCATCTCATTCTTTCACTCAAGATGAGATATTTCCAAGGTGGCATGGGAACAAGGACTGTGTCAAAACTATATAATCATAAACTTCCACCCACTACATATGCTAGTTAGAGTTTTTTTAGGTAAGCCCATCTGTAGACACCAACAAGCCTAGAGCTGTCTTGAGAATCACCTATTTATCACTTATGTGTATATGGTTTATTAGAGAAGAAATATCGGGTACAGTTAAGATAAAGATTTAATTGCATGTGTCATAGAGTTAGCATTTTCATGAGAATTTCCAGGGACTGTTTACTTGAGGTTACATGGATTAGAAAGAAGAGATTGTTTATTTGAGGTGGAAAAAATTACATCATTTGATATTTAAACAAAGCAAGCAGTTAAGTTTGTCTACTAGGAAACTGAATGGAAAGATAATTGGGACTCAGAGTTATGGAATACCTTGAATGTCAACATATGAACTTCGTTCAGGACGAGCTATGGAGAACCCTTGAAGTGGTCATAAGTGTTAGCTAAATATTTAAATATGATATGTGAGTAGCTAAAACTGTTTATGATAAAACTGTTTATGATAAAAACAAGAAATCAATTATTATGACTGATGAATGCAATGAAACACAGACAAATTTATGATATGTTGGTAATCAAAATATTAATTTGAATTTCATTTACATATGCAAAATATCCTATAAAGAAGGACTTCAGAGTTAAAACCACCTTCAGAAAAATCGATTCATTTTATTTTTTGTTGTTGTTAAGAGTGCTTTTTCATGTGTTTCTTATGGGTACTATGACACCTGTTATCAAAGGAAAAATATTAGCTAACACTTAGCTTGTTTATCATAGGTCAGGCACACTTTACATATATGAATGCACTGATTATTAAAGAAAACTTAAAAATAGATAAAATTACCACATTATAAATGGGGAAAACTGAGGCACAGGGATATGAAATAGTTTGCCTAGCAGTTAAATACCTCAAGAGGAACACATTTCATAAAGGGTTTTGGCAAAATGTGCTGTTTATGTACTCCCAAAACAGAGGAGCTGTCTAAGAAATATTTACTGAGAAAGTAAAATATAAGCAATTCCTCAACCAATTATACTAAATGCTCAAAAGATGGTACATGCATTTACAAAGATGAAGAAATCCCTTTATATTGGAGATAAACATGCACATACACACACACACACGTACATTAGACTTTAAGCGAGTGAAAAATGTTGATTGAAATGAAAGAATTGCTGACAATTACAAGAGATTTATAATCATTTAAATAGAAGTTCAAAGACAAATTCAAAATTAAAATTCAGGCCAATGTATATACCTACTTGGATTACCAGAGAAACACAGAAAATAAGAAACTATATTTTAACAGTTTTACAAGTAATCTATTATGCTATCTGCTGAGAAACTATTCAAATTATCTAGAAATGCTAGTCAAATTGATTGATAAAAAATATTTTGTTATTTCTTGTCAAATGTCTACTTGTGTGCTGTTTACTTTTGGAGATACGCTCTCATAATTTTCAGGTAAATAAAATAATTTCAACTATGTAGGCATGGTATCCAGTGTAATCATCAATTTTAAAGATTCTAAGAAAAAGAGCTTCAGACAAATGTCAATATTACAATCAGTTTATCTTTGACTTCTTTGACTACCACCACTATAAAAACATTTTCTAAGTCTTCATTCCAGAGTGTCACTTATACACATGTCTATTAGACATATGGGTTCTCACAGGGACAAAGAAACATTCAACTTCTGCACTGTCAGTCTTAAATGTGCTCTGCATTAATTTAATTATTTATCCTTTGTTGCTTACAATAGGCTCAACTTTTGCTTTTATAATATGCTTCAATATTTTTAAGTTGAAAATTATCTGCACTCAAATGTTTACAGCAGCATAATTCGTAATCGCAAAGATGTGGAAATGACTCAAGTGCCCATCAATACATGAGTGGATTAATAAAATGTGGTACATGTATACCATGGAATACTACTCAGCTGCAAAAAACAATGCTGATCTAGCACCTCTTATATGATCCTGGATAGAGACTGAATACTATTCAACTACAAACCCAATGGTGATCTAGCATCTCTTATATTATCCTGGATAGAGATTGAGCCCATGCTTCAAAGTGAAGTATCAGAAGGATGGAAAAACATGTACCATATATACTCACCATCAAATTGGTACTAACTGACCAACACTAAGGTGTTCACATTGGTAGTAATACTCATTGGCTGCCGGTTGAGTGTGGGGGTAACCCCACAAATAATGGAAGCAAAATGCACTGTTTTGGGGAGGGACACATTTGTAGCTCAGGCTTGGGAGGGGCAAACACATTACATGTAATCAAAATGTTTGTATCCTTATAATATCCTGAATAAATTAAATGAAAAGAAAATTATCTGTATATTTTATATGGATTTTAATATAATGCTAACTAGAGGTTTGCAATCTGGGTTCTCAGAGGAAAAGTAGAAAGAAGTGGACTTCAACTCACTTTACCTCTGTGATGGTTACTTTAATGTGTCAACTTGGCTAGGCTATAGTGCCCAGGTGTTTGTCCAAACACTGGTCTAGGTGATGCTGTAAAGTACTTTTAAAAATGTGATTAATATTTAAATCTGTAGACTTTAATTTATCAGATTACCTTCCATAATGTGCAGGGGCTTCTCCTAGTCAGTTGAAGACTTAAAGAAAAAAAAAAAAGACTGAGATCTTCCAAGGAAGAAAGAATCCTGCCTTCAGACTACCTTTGAACTCAAAACTGCAACATCAACTCTTTCCTGGTTCTCCAGCCTTTTGGATTTGACAGCCCCCACTAAAATCTCTGCTCTGCAAAGGTTACTTTTAAGAGACTGGAAAGGTAAGCTATAAACTGGAAGACAACATTAGCAAAACACATATATGATAAAAGTTGTTATCCGAAATATGCAAAAAGACCCTTTTAAATCTTAATAATAAGGAAAAGCAATTTAAAAATTGACAAAAGATCTGAATGTCACCTATAGAGACTATAAATGAGTATATGATAAAATTCTCAACATTATATTTCATTAAAGAATTGCAAATTAAAACAATGAGATGCCTCTATACACCTATTAGAATGGCTAAAATCCAAATACTGAAGACACCAACTGTTGGCAAAGACTTAGAGCAAGAGCATCCCTTATTCTTTGCTGGTGGGAATGCAAAATGGGACAGCTACTTTGAAAGACAGTTTAACAGTTTCTTACAAAGCTAAACATAAGCTTATCATATGGTCCAGCAATAATGGTCTTTGGTATTTACTCCAATAATTGAAATGTACGTATGTCCACACAGAAAACTTGACATGAATGTTTTTAACAGCTTTATTTTTAGTTGTACAAAGCTGGAAGCAATCAAGATGTGCTTCAATAGATAAATAGATAACAAACTATGGTACCTCTCCACAATAGGATATTATTCAGCAATAAAAATACATGAACTATCAGGCCACAGAAAGGCAGAGAAACTTTAAATGCAGTTTGTTAAATCAAAGAAACCATCTGAAAAGACTTCATATTATAGATTCCAACCATAAAACATTCTGGAAATAACAGAAAAAACTCTAGGTACAATAAAAAGATAAATAGTCCCCAGTGGTTCTGGGAGAGGGAATCAGGGATAAATAGCTGGAACACTGGAGATGTTCAGGGTGGTGAAACTACTCTGTTTGATAATGTAATAGTGGATACATGACATTATGCATTTTTCAAGCTCACAGAATTTGTGAATTGTACAACACAAAGAGTAAACTATAACTATGTACTTCAGTTAATAATTTATCAATACGGGTTCATTAATTGCAACAAATATATCACATTAATGCGAGATGTTAATTATTTTAACAAATGTCTGAAGAATGGTATAGAGGAGTGTGTGGGATCTCTGTACTTTCTGCACAATTGTTCTGTGAGCCTAAAAGTTCTCTAAAAATAAAGTCTATTAAAATGCATAAAAACTATGAAATCAAATACATGACAACGTTATATAAATACAATATTATGTAAATTTGAAAATACATGTTTCTGTTTATGTGTATATGTATGTGTATATATATATGGGTGTGTGTGGGTTTTTATGTATGTATATGATTAAAAAATAACCAATGAATATGTATGGACTAACACATTTGTTGGTTCATATTCTTCACATATTTGGATTTTATTTGTTTACAAATCTGTAGCACTGATATACATATGCAAATATATTTTTGCATGTATTCACATATATATTCTGAAATGTTATGCTATACATGAGATAAAGTATATCTATACTCATATATATACAAATGTATGGGTGTACAGATTATATGTGTGTATATGTATATGTTAAAGTATGTATATATGCATATACATGTATTTACATATGTAGCAATTATAAATTTTTTTCCTAGACAAAATGGGGCCTGGATTATTTGATTCTAATTGTCTGTTGTTATAATCCTTTGTTAATATTGCATTTAAGTAAGTGGATTTATCACTTCTTTTAATGATTAATGAGGTAACTCTATCCTGATTTCCACCATTCTTTATTTTCTGCTGCTGTCATTGTTTCAAATATTCTGTCATCTGTATTTTTAAATAAACTTAGAGGCTTTTAAAAATGTGATTACCAACTTCTTTTGGAATTTTAATTCAAATAACTCTAATTGTGTTTATGAATTTTAGTATTAAAATGCTAATTTTACTAGCTTGGTGCAAAAGTAATTGCAGTTTTAGCATTGTTGAAATTTGCCTGTTGATATTGGAATACATTCTTAAATAAACGTGGTTATGTTATAAACACTATTTTAATGTGCATTTTTCTCACTTCATTTTTTTTTCCTAATGACTTATTACTTGCCTTTTATTTTATATTTATTTTAGATTATGGAATTGATGTTAGACAAAAGCCAAATTCCAGTGGTTTTCTTATCAGAGGTCAAAATGGATCGTAAAGCAGCAGAGACAACTCAGAACATCAACAACACATTTGGCCCAGGAACTGCTGACCGACATACAGTGTAGTGGTGCTTCAAGTTTTGCAAAGGAGATGAGAGCCTTGAAGATGAGGAGCACAGTGGCCGGCCATCGGAAGTTGACAATGACCAACTGCGACCAATCATGGAAGCTGATCCTCTTACAGCTACATGAGAAGTTGCCAAAGAACTCAATGTGGGCTATTCTGTTATCATTAACCACCTGAAGCAAATTGGAAAGGTGAAAAAGCTCAATAAGTAGGTGACTCATGAACTGACTGAAAATCCAAAAAATTGTCATTTTGAAGTGTCATCTTCTCTTCTTGTACGCAACAACAGCAAACCATTTCTCCATTGGATTGCGATGTGTGACGAAAGGTGGGTTTTTATACAACAGCTGGCGGTGACCATCTCAGTGGTTAGACTGCAAAGAAACTCCAAAGCATTTCCCAAAGCCAAACTTGCACCCATAAAAGATCATGGTCACTGTTTGGTGGTCTGCTGCCAGTCCGATCCACTACAGCTTTCTGAATCCTGGTGAAACCATTACATCTGAGAAGTATGTTCAGCAAATAAATGAGATGCACAGAAAACTGCAATGAATGCAGCCAGCATTGATTAACAGAAAGGGCCCAATTCTTCTCCATGACAACGCCCAAGTGCACATTGCAGAACCAGCACTTCAAAAGTTGAATTAATTGAGCTATGGAAATTTTGCCTCATCTGCCATTCACCTCATGTCTGGCCAACCAACTAACACTTCTTCAAGCATCTTGACAACTTTTAGCAGGGAAAACACTTCCACAACCAGCAGGATGCAGAAAATGCTTTCTAAGAGTTTCTGGAATCCTGAAGTACGGATTTTTATGCTACAGGAAAAACAAAATTATTTCTCATTGGCAAAAATGTGTTGAATGTAATGGTTCCTATTTTGATTAATGAAGATGTGCTTCAGCCTAGTTATAATGATTTAAAATGCATGGTCTGAAACCGCAATTACTTTTGCACCAACCTAAAAAGTTAGCATTTTATGATGTTAAATTATCCTTATCCAAGAACATTGTATGCCTTTCAATTCACCCTTATTTATGTCCTTTAATAAGATTTATTTTTTAACATTATCCTTGCACCTTTATTGTTACATTTATTTCTGAGTAATTCAGTTTTATTTTAAAACCTTTGTGCATAGAAACTTTTACATTTCATTTTTTGTTAGTTATTACTAATATTGAAAAATTACTGGATTTAAATATTTTCTTGTATGTAGTAAGGCTGACAAATTCTGCTATTAGTTAAATTCAAATACAACATAAAGCTAGAGCTTTGTTCTTTGTGAATTATTACATATTTGAAGAAAAATTTTTTCTATTCTAATGTTTCTTTTTTTTTTATTTTATGTTTTTGTTTATTTGCTGGAGTCTCCAATATAATGTCACATATTCATGACAGTAGGAAGCCTTATCTTGAACTAGATTTTAATAGATATAGCTTTAAATTTTTTACCATTGAAACAAAATTTGCTTTGCTTTCATTTATATGGCTTTTGTCACATTTGATCAATCCTCTTCTCTATCGTCGGAGTTTTTTTTTTTTTCTAGGAATGGATGCTAATTTTGATCTAATTTCCTTTTGACATTCATTATTTTATATTTTAAATAAATTTTGTTAATGAATTTTCTGATTGTTAGTTTCAAAATGTAATGGGGGTAACTTTTTATTCTATGATACGACATCATCATTAAGAATAAACTGTTATTTAAAGGTGAAATATAACTAAATTAAATACATTGGACTGATTACTTTTAGAAGGTAAGAATTTAGTCACTTTGCCCTAGTCTAAGATAATTGAGTGATTCGTTTTCCAGTTTTTAATTGGATTTGCTTACTTTTATGTTGATAATCTCTTCTAGTTTTGCTATTCCTTTTTTCATTTTTAATGATATTGCACTTGATGTTCTCTTATAAATATTTTAAGTCTCCTCATCATTGATTGCTATTTATTCATTCTTGAATAATTTTTCTTTCTTTTTTTGTAAATCAAATTCATTCTGTTACCCAGGATGAAGTACAGGGACATGATCATACCTCACTCTAGCCTCAAATTCCTGGGCTCAACCAATCCTCCTAACTCACCATCTGAGTAGCTAAGGCTACAGGCATTCACCACAACATCTGGCTAATTTTAAAATAGTTTTTAGAGATGGTGTCTTGATATGTTGTCCAGGCTGATCTCAGACTCCTGGGGTCAAGAAATTCTCTAGCATTGGCCTCCCAAAGTGTGGGATTACAGGTGTGAGCCAGTGTGGCTGGCCACCCTTTTAAAGATGTTCCTTGAAGCACTCTCTAATAAATGAATTCATAGGCAGTCCTCCCTCTGCATCAAGGGAACCCAACGTATAATAAAAGCTAATAGAGATGTGTGTAATAGCTGGTTCAATTGACCATTAAATGTTTTTAGGTAAGAGTTCAAAGAATATAGGGAAGAGATTGAGGAGGGTAGAGAAATACTATTAGGATAGATGATGAAGAATGATAAGGAGGACATGAGGCACAATAGGCTTAACAGGACACAGGATTAGAAAAATAATTAACCCTTGCAGTCTCCTGGTATGTAACAGTTCCTTCATCTGTAGATGCTGAGGATAGTGTGAGTCTATGTCTGGTGTGTTTTGTGGCCCAGTTCTGAAAGGTGGCATGAGTCTGACTCTGAAATAAGGCTGAATTAGGAAAGAGAAAGGAAGGGTCAAAGACATGAAGAGCTGAGGAAGAAAACTAAGCACAGCGGAAAGCACTCATGGTATAAGTTTTCTAGCACCATTATTTAGAACACTCCTTTACACCCTCCAAATAACCAAATCTCAGTGGTTATAATTAATTATCAG